TCTTTATGCCCACAATATCCAAAAGTCCTTATTAACTCATATGCAGTTAGTTCTGGTCAGTTGATGTGTTAGAGGCCAATTTAAACACTGTGCAGTTTCCAGTTATTTGCTACATATGCACAGGTGTAGTGTGGGGCAGGACAGGATGGTTTCAACATGAAAACTGAACGTGTATGAATGGGAACTGAGGAAGGAAACATATGGATGACAGTAACAGCAAAAATACTTTTTACATTAAAACATGTTTGACAGGCTCCACTGGTTTAATAACAAGCTAAAGTTTCAGTTTATGAACTTTACACAGTTCATCTGCTTCTTTTCTTCCTCTGCTCATGCTTCATATTTAAAATCACTCAGTTATGTGGACATAATTAACCTTTAATTTGATTCTTTTTACAAATCTGTCTGACCTTTGCTCATCATCACTACAGGTACACATAAAATTGTATCTTATAGATTGTTTTCTTTTTTAAAAGAAATGAAGAATGAATAATAGAGCGTGAGACATTAAGACACAAATTTAGACAAAAAAAACTTCTCTTTAACCTTTGTCGCACATTCTTGATGAGATTTTCCAAGATAAGGTGATGAGTTAGTTTTAAGAACAAGCAGGGCCTGTGGATTCCTGGTGGTAGTGATTGATGACTGACAGTTTCTTTCTGTTGTGCTCTGTTTACACTGAGGACTTCTGAGCAGAAATGAAGATTGAAGAGCCTAAAACCAACTGACACACATAGGTGGTTCAACACTCACGCAGACACTTTGTGTGGCAATCATAGAGTGCTCACTACAATCTCAATAATTCATTGTTATTTGGCATTTGCAGAAAAGAAAACGTTACAGTTCTTGGCTTAAAATTTTGAAAGCAAGTTTTTGAAATCACAATCATCAATGTCAAGAAGCATCACTGCATGTGACTACAGGCTTACGTCACAGCAACATTGAATGTGAAAAATGATTCTGATTATATTGTACCTAGTTAATTGTGTTATTTTATTTCTAATCTACAGTATTTCTTCACCTACAAGGGTTACTGTTCTCCTGAAGGGAGGGAGTGTATTCGTTTCTGTTTGTTTGTTAGCAAGCGACCCTTTACGGTGTTCAAGCTATCATTTTAGAATATTGTGTGATGGTAGATACGATTAACAGCTCGAGCTGATTTAATTGAGGTAAAAACTGGATCATGGTTAGATCGGATGTGAAAATCAGGAAATATTCTATGTTACCCACAATTTTTGTGGATTTCTGGTAGACTTCACAACAGAATGCTGACGTCAGCATGCTGCAACAAAAACATCGACATTTTATTATATTGTTATCATTTTAGTGTTTTGGTTTTTTTTAAAAAATAGGATTTCAAAAAACAAGACAATAGGATTTTTACCAGTGTTGCTTAACACAGCAAAGTGCTGCACATCAACAGAAAGAAAGAAACATTTAAGCTCATGTCAGCATGCATCAGAGAGATGACACACTGTGCCTTCAGTGTCACTGCCAAACATACCTGACTGCATAGAATTCACTGAATCTATATTCCCGTCACCTGTAGCAGGAAGAATGTTGACAACAAAAACTGTCTTTATGGGATCACATGTTTGACAGGCAACACCGGTTGAAGTTAGAGGTTCACTTTTGTTTTTTTTACCTCTCTTATTTGAGGTGCATAATCACTCACTTTCACTGATAAATACATAATCTGAACAATGATTAATTAAGGTGACACAGTTAAGACTTGCTTATGTTGGTGTGCAGATCATCTTCATTGTGAATAAAACTTAATTTCACTTTGCAGATCAGTCTGACCTTTGCTCCTCATCACTACAGGCACATATAAAATAATGTTACACAGTTTGTTTGTTTTTTTTCCTTTTTTGTTTTTAACCTTTACTTGCAAAACCAGAACAAAAGTAGAACAAAACCCAATAAGACTAGATGTGTTTTTTTTAGATGGATGGATTTTTCACTTTTTCAACATTTGGAGATGGTGGCACTGGTGCAGTGACAGTATGACGATGCAGAGGTTTGGAGTGGGAGACAAAGTTGGAGAGGCAAGGGTGAGATAGCTTGGACATGAGCAGAAGAGGGATAATTAATACACTGGACAAAGGGTTTTGAAAATGGAGCTGCCAGGCAGGAGGAAAAGAAGAACATCACAGAGAAAATTAATGGATGTAGTGAAGGAGTCCATGCAGAGGACTGGGTTGACAAAGATGCTTGGGATAGGGTGAGATTGAGGGAGATAACCTGCTGTGGTCACCAGCAGAAATAATAACAAGAAGAAGAAGAAGAAGACAAATTCTTCATCATTCCCTTAGTTGCACATCCTGGATCCCAGATTGAATCAAGTTAAGCACATTCACACAACAATCCCTCATATATAGTACATGCCTCACACAGGCTGTCTGTGTAGGCTCCCAGGCATCACGGTCATGGTAATCTAAAGAGTGACTACACTTCTTTAAGTTTCTGGAAGACGTTCACTTATAAAAGAAGCCTTTTCAGCTATAAAACCAAATGGTAGAGAGTCCCAGATTCTTAACCCTAGTGGGAGTTGTCCCTTAAGAGGGTCCTTGACCAACTATTGATCATATGACTGATCACATAAGCCAAGGTATGAAAAAGAGTATGGGTCATTATCAGCAGAGGTCTTGGGTAAAACCATTGTGAGACCCTGCCTCACCCTGAGATCAACTTCTGAAACCATCTAGAGAGAAACAGAGTAACAAATGGAACAACATGAGATCAGGCGATGGGAAGTGAAACGTCTTTAAGAAACTTAAAGAACTCCACTCAATTAGAAAAACTCTTACAGTCCTTTCTAAACATCCATAAATGGTCTATTCTGTTACATATTATAAAACATGAGCTCTATCAAATGTCCCCTTTTCTTGAATAAGAAAAATGTTTTTGAAGTTTTGTCTTGTGTCAAAATATAGAAAATCTTTACTTAGTGTATATGCACACAGGTCAGCTCAAAGTATGCTAAAGAAAATCATGTTCACTGAAATAAAAACGTGGGAAAATTCACGTCCAGAAACACAAATCAATAAAACTATGATTTTATGGTCCACAAGTCTGTCTCAGCATCTTGCATTTGGGTCTTAACTTCTTTACATCTCGACACATAGAATTTCTCCTGGGGGCCTCAATCCCTGCACCAACAGACCCTATTTCAGATGATCAAATAGGGATTTGATGGCACAACTGCATGATAATGACACAATCAGTTAAATCAAATGTATTAGCAGGGAAAAAACTAAAACAAGCAGTCCCCCAGGGTTGAACCAGTATTTTGCATTATTGGATTTGAAAAAAAAAAGAGAGAGAGAAACTGCGTACTGCTTTGTCCTGAGGCAACGGATTTTAATTAAATGAAAAATCTGTCAAAATCTGTTGTTAAACAATCGGACATAACTTTTAGATATTCACCTACATGGACATTTTATTAATAAAGTTATTTCATTTTAAACTAAACATGATACTTATCTCACCAGATGCTGTTGCTGCTACATGTGACTTTGGTTTCTGCAACGACTGGAGCACAACCATGTTAAAGAGAAAACGCTCTTCTCCTCATCAATATATATGATGGTGACATGTTTTGGGTCAATATTTTTATTAAAAAACAAAATAAAATGTAAAAGGACAATGTAATTATGAAAAATGTGGTTTCTTGCCTGAGGGCAACAACATGCTATGAAGGGCTAAATCAACACCGTGGTGTCTGCCAACAGGAAGAAACAGTGCTTGTCAGCATATGTCAGCGAAGACACAATGCACGCTGTGTGCACAAGTTCTATACATCAAAAGAGTCACAAGCAGTTGTTGCTTAGACTATCGCTCAACTTTGTGAAGTGTAGAGAGAAGAAACATGTTTAACAGGCAGCACTGGTTTAATCACAAGAAAAAGTTTCAGTTTGTGCTATGAGCTAGTCTGTGCAAAGTTCAAAAGCTTCCTGGGTTTTTTGCTCATTTTATTTGTATAAACACACAGTCTCTGTGTGTGATGTAAGATAAGATAAGATAAGATAAGATAAGATAACCTTTATTAGTCCCACACGTGGGAAAATTTGTTTTGTCACCGCAGGAAGTGGACAGCGCAAAAGTTATGTAGCAAAAATTAGAATATAATAAGAAGGAATACAGTACACAACTGTAGAGAACAGAATAAAATAAAAATACTATATACAGTAGAATAAAATAGAATAAAATATACAATAGGATAAAAATAGAATACAAATTCTACATACAACTGAGTAAAAATACAACGATGCCAGAAAAGAGTATTGCACTTATTGCAAGTGTTATTGCACGTGTGTGGATGTGTGTGTTTGATCAGCTGGAGTCTTTGTTGTGGAGTCTGACAGCAGTGGGGAGGAAAGACCTGCGAAATCTCTCCGTCCCACACCGTGGGTGCCGCAGTCTCCCACTGAAGGAGCTGCTCAGTGCTGTCACAGTCTGCTGCATGGGGTGGGAGATGTTGTCCAACAGTGATGACAGCTTAGCCGCCATTCTCCTGTCACTCACCACCTCCACTGGGTCCAGAGGGCATCCTAGAACAGAGCTGGCCCTTCGGATCAGCCTGTTCAGTCTCTTCCTGTCCCCAG